ATTGTTATATACCTGTACATACAATTGTCGATTTATATATTTTTTTATTCCTTATTTTACTTGTTCTATTTTTAATTTTTTTTAAAAATTTTTTTATTATTATCTGTTTTTTGTTCCACACTGTGGAAGCTTCTGTCACGAAAACTAATTCCTCGTATGTGTAAACATACCTGGCAATAAAGCTCATTCTGATTCTGATTCTGATTCTTCTGATGAACAATGACACAAGGACTTTTCATTCTGATTGCACTGATATGTTAATTGACAAATACTTTTAAGAGATGAACTAAAGATTTTGAGTAAGTTACAGGCTTTTGCAGGTAATCCATTGTATGGTGCTGTTTGTACGATTTGTTTTGAGAAATGCACATGCTTCATTGCAAATACTAAGGATGATCGAGAAATGCACCAAAGCGACTGAGAAAAACTGTAAGTGAGTGAATCCTGCAGGACTCCTGGTAGGAATGTTTCTGTCCTGAAGGATTTTGATTCTGTCCTGCAGGATTCCTGTATGATCCCTGCACAGAGAGAGCTGTATTCCCTCAGGATTCCTGTAGGATATTTTAATTTTTTTCCCCTTCTTTTTTTTTGAGAGTGCTTAAACTCGCGCTAAATGACTGAAGTCATTGATAATGTGCTTTGATAATGTAAATGTTCTTTGCTCGCTTTCTGTATAGAATTACATCAGCATTTTCCAGTAAGATTAGTTCAGTGTATAGGCCTACCCCCCCCTCCCCCGCCCCCACGTTTAGCCCTTAATTCTAACAATTAAACTTGATCCAGAACATAATTTTCTTTAAATGACCGTTCAGCTCAGCAGTGACCGTATTGATCACTGATGCCAGCTACTGTACATATTAACCATTTGGTGGTGACAGAGCTCTACTGTTTTATATCATATGGTTTGAAGGGTGATGAAAATAAGCATTGTTGGGAGATAAAAGACTCTGGGAAAAGTATAGAATTCCTTTCAGCCCATCAAAGTATTGTGGGATTTCACAGTAGAAACATTTATTTGACAACATTTGCTGTTGTCTTCTCTAATGAAGGATAATCAATTTAGATTTACACTATGATACTTTGACATTTCATTCGAAACATTTTATGCCTAAAGAGATGAGTACTCTGGCAAATGTTTAAAATGCTGTACACTCACATGAGAATCATATCAGTGATACCTAGAAAAAACTATTTTATTCTACAAAAGTGGTGTCCTCTTTCATTGTTGTGGCCAGCATTTTGAGATCACGTGTATAGACGAATAATACTTACTTTCAGTTGCGAAAATAAATTAATCATTGATGGCAAATCCTCTGGTGAATAGGATATTTATACAATGGCAATGAGAAATGAAAGTTGCACTTTTTTGTATATAAATAGTAGTATGAAGTCCAAATAAAAAGATGAATCTCAACAGCAGGGGAGGAAATCAAGAGTTTTGGTTGAGATGATTTAGATTTTGAATTTTTTTTATTCAATACCACTACGTGACCTTTTGAGTCTCAAACTGTTTCTGTGCAGGCTCTTACCAAGAAATTGAAACATTGTATCAACTGCATAAAAAAGACAAGCAATGGTAGCCGTTACGTTGTCATCACTCTGTAATCCAGTGTTGTCGCCTCAAATGAAGGGAGGTGTGAAAAGCATTTCAGAAAATAGAGTGTTTGTGGTTGTGGTGCAGCACAGGGTGTGAAAGTAGAGGTACGGGATGGAAAGTTTATGAACACGATTATGTTCAGAGAGAGAGAAAAAAACATATACTAATAACGTAGCATGTTACATCAAATATGAGACTCATAATCATAAACTGCAATTAATTAATTTAATGTAAGCTCTTCTATTACTAAATTGATTAGCAATGCTCTACTAACTCAGTTAAGTAGCACTGAACAGGATGAGGAAGAAACATTAAACCATTATTAACATTACACATGTGTGAACTGCATGCTTTCCACTGTATCTGTCCATTTTTACACACACACATAAATAGCTGTGACATGGCTTCTCATGCATAAAAATAACTGTGCCTATACAAATGAATAGTCAAAGTCTGACAAGGGCAGAAACAATGCCTTGGACCGAAGGATCACACCATTTTGCTGGGCTTGAGCTATTATCACATTCTCACAAATCTTTTGTGCTACAGGAAGTGTTTTTGCCTTTGACATCTTGAACATCTGAACTCCTCCTTCATGGCTGCTGGTGCTGTGGCAACAGGCGATCATGTCCTCTTTATGCTTGTAGTGATGCTACCAAATGTTTCAAAGGCAGTTAAGGAGTCTTAAAGAGGCGGAGCATGCAGAAATTAAGCGTAATTGATAGAATGCAATGTTTATTTGTACAGCCTGCAAAAGTCAATCTTTGTGTCTTGATATTTAGAGCCCATGTAAGAAAAAGTATTTTTTAATAGTAACTTAAAAGCAATAGGAACACACTTCCTTACCGGTGCTTGCACTCTATTGTTTATGTCAGAAAAACAACAATGTACAGGTTAACAAAAAAAAACAAACATATAACTTGGAACATTACAAATTTTAAACATTTGTAATTTGATAAAAAATAAAAAAACTGACAATAAAAATCACTGATATTATATGTGATCTAATAAAAAAAATGAAATGGAACTCAAACACTTGTAATCAGAATCGGAATAAAGGATTAACGGATAAAATTAATTCTAAAACAAGTTCAAAATGTTTTTGTTATAACAAAATTATGACAACAATCAAATATTAAGTACAAAATCAACAATCTTTTACAGCTGTGTATACAACCTTGGTCTCCACATCTTTTAAAACAAACATTTGCATTTTATCTAGTTTATGACTTCGGTCAAATCTTCGGATGTTTGATGTGTCTAAAAAAATGACAAAAGTAAGATTTTCATTAAAAATAGTGCATACTAAAAAATCCAGCAGGCTGAAATATTAGCTGAATGTTACCTGTTTTTTGTAGATACAGGATGATGTTAAGAATTATTGACACTGCAGTGATCGGCACCAGTGTGTGCAGAACATAGACAAATAACTGTTCACCTACCACAAGATAAAATATAAATTATGGTGATATCACACAACTAATTAAAATTATTCTGACTTTTTAGAAGCACAAAAAAGAAGAAAAGAATAACTAAACATGAGTCTTTTTTTAAGTGGTGTGCTAGGTCTATGATTTCATAATATAATTTAATATGATTTCATAATGATTTCATAATTATAAAATAATTTATTTATTGAGTATATTTTTGTCAGTAGTGTAGATTATTCTGCTAATGTATTTATTGAAGACTTATAAAGATTGAAATGGACTTACTCCAGTGGTCTTCTTTTTCTTTTACTAGCCCTGTTCCTGTAAACAAAACACATATTTGAATAAATAATAATCATTACAGACATCGTCATCATCATCATCACTATCTGAAATGCTTTTTTACTATTTTCGAACTATTTTACTTTACATTTGCATGTGATTATTCACTGCTTACCATTAAAATGCTCTTCAAACATCAGTCTTGTTCCATTTCCAAAAAACATCCTATTAAAAATAATCATCCCACAGTAGTACACAGCGATGTCTCTTTGCTCGATGTTCAGTACTGAGAGATTGAAGCTGAGCTGGTTCCATGTTAATCTAAACTTTGAAGGATCCTGAAATTTTTCTCCAATCATTATGCCAGTTTTGTCTGATTCAGCCAAAGCCACAAAGTCTGGAGCAGAACTGTTCTGAAATTTTAGCCAGAACACCTTAAAGTGCCCATTGTCTGGTGTGAAGCACTGAAGAGCTGCGGAGTGTCCAGATTGAACCCTCACTGCTGACTCTGGTTGAGACACATGCAATGAAATGCCCAAAGCAAATGTACCTAAACATTAAAATAATTCAAAATTAAATTATAACTACCTATCTGCACAATCATTTTTAGCATCTCAGTCCTTAGACTATGCACAGTAGACACGGAGTAACTCTGAGTGTTTTTATGAATTGTTTGTGTCAAGTTTTCAATTTGTCAAAAAAAAGTAAAGAAAAATCTTAAATTCATACTCACACAGGTTTATTATAATGCAAGAGATGCATGATAATTTCGTCATCTTAACTGATCTGTAGAAGACTACACATGCAACAGGCGTTTCTTCACAGGGCAAAAGATAAATCTTGAAAGGGTTATAGATTGAGTTTTGGGGTGAGGCTTTATGCACATTATGCAACTTGACCGCTTTTGCCACATCTTCCTGTCATGTGGTCTAAAGTGTCATTTATTGGGTTGGTTTTGGTAAAGAAAGCTTTGTTGTTCCTGTATAAAGGTCATTATTTCTTAATCATTCAAATCACTAAGTTCCAACAGGTAAATGTTTTAGCTAAGACACTTAGCCTACATTTTATTAGTTATTTGTAGCATATATAAAGTCCCAAAACAAGGCACAATAAAAGGTTCAACAAGAACAAGAGGTAACATAATAGATATTCAAATGACGCAACATCCTTTGCTTTCGCCCAAAATGTGGCCGAAAAAGGCACAAAGTAGGCAAATAAAATCTGTCGTGTCTGTAGCAACCAATCATTGTCAGCGTTAGTCATTCAAGCCAATCAGCTTTCAGTATCACATTAGTGCATCGTCAAACCTGGGGCAAGTTCAAGCTCAAACCGTTCTGCTACCGTTTCCGGTTTGAATGTTTCCTGGAAACGGTGTGCAAGGGGGTTTGAGATGCGTTTTCTCTTGTTTGGTGGGTGTGTCAAACATGTCAGCCCAATCAGCAGCAACATGTATGTAAACCACGCGGTATTAAAGAGACAGCTCGCACAATGTAATTAACATCCAAATAAATTAATATGAATAAAGAGCAAGTATATTGTTTGCACGTTTATTTACATTAAAGGCAAAATAACTGAAATAATAAGAGTACAAGTATAGATCTGGAACTTCTTTAAGTCCATCTAAATATAATTTAGTAATTGCAATGTCTTCTGGTCCATATACTTTCTTTAGGAAGGTGTGCTAAATACTGATTAATGTAACATAAAAATACTATACATATTTATATATTTTGCTATTGTATTATGGAGTGACACTTTCATAAACTTTTCTATTCATCAGGCTCCGAGAATTCTTCAAAAAGAACACAAAGAATGGCCTTCTCAGCTGCCATAGTTGCAACTCTTGCGTCATCAGAACAGGGTGTTCAATGCAGCACCGTTTCCGTTTAAAAAACGTTTTGTACCGTTTTTGTCGGGGTTGAACGCCGCCCAGCTTTGACAACAGGTAAACAATTAAAAATTTAGCCAAAATACATTAAATGCAAATTCATGAAGAATCCGAAAGACTGAAAAACAGGGTATTTATAAATTTGGCACGATGAAGGTATGGAGGATGGAACTCATTTACGCAAATGTGAGTACCTGGGGGTTTACTGGTTACTGCGTGATGAATGAAACCGAAAAAAGCAAAATGACCTTACGCAATGAACTAAATAAACTGTGAAAATATTGTTTTCTATAACATTGAGGTCGCGGCACCATCTGCAGGACAGTTAAAAGGGCTCAAATGCTTTAAAATGCTTTAAAGCGCCAAACGCAAGTAGAATCAGCGCTGAAACGTGTTACTCGCCCGGTACCGTTTTTATGAATGGTGGTGAGAATTTGAGATTAGTACTATCATAAATTCGTAAAAATCGTCATCGGAGGTTGTAAGTGGAGGCTCTTTGTGAACATCCGCTTGGCTCCCATTTAAGCCTCGGTTATACTCCAGTTTGGACGAGTATTTGTCCACGCAGTCACAAAAAATGGGAGATATGTGGATGTCCGCAAAGAGTCTCCGCGTATAACCTCCGATGACGATTTTTACGTCAGACCCTTGCGCACTCACTCACTTGGAAAGTATAACACTAGCTTTTTTGTGAACGTGCAGACAAGCATGCGCGGTCACTAGGCTACAAAATATGGAAGGTCATTATGAGCCAAAAACACGTGAATTTTAACGCGTCTACAACGCATTAAACACACGTATTTCAGGCGTAAACAACACGTATGTAACGCGTTAAATACGTGTCGTTTACACGTGAAAAATCAGCGCGTTAAATACGTGTATTCAACGTGTGAAATACAAGTGAAATACGTGTTAAATAAGCGTGAAGTACACATTAAAAATCAGTTTGAAGAGGTCAGTGTCATTGGCTGCTGAGGACTTGGGTCAAACCATTTCTGTGAGCTTAGGGGGGTGTACCATTCATAGACTAGGCAACCACCATTTAACATGCAATAGATCAGCTTATTCAGCCTAATTATTTTGTCTTTTTTGTCTTTTGTTTTTTTTGTATAGCCTATAGAAATAATATACTTAAATTGCAGTTTTATGAAAAACTAATTTTTCACCTAAATATAAACACATTAGTGGACATTCTAGCTTTGATCAAACTTCAAGGGTTAGTCCACACAAAAATGAAAAGTAGCCTGTGCTTTACTCACCCTCAAAGCATCCTAGGTGTATATGACTTTCTTCCCCAACATGTGTATTTGTGGTGATATCATGAAGTAAACAAAAGTTACAGCCCTTTACAGTTTTGAATTTGAAGTAATGCCTCACTCAAGTTTAGTCAAAGCCCCAAAAAAATTATACTTGTTATATTCCACTCGATGAGACCTTTCAAATGACATATGACACATGACTATCTGAGCTGTATGATGTTTCTGACATATTAGAGTATATGAAACAAAAACATTTTTTATAAATTATGAAATTTTTTTTTTCTATTTATCCGCAAATAACTCAGCACTACCTAGGAGTTAATCAAAGTGGCCACATGCATTGTAAAGGTCAGACTCCAAGCTTTCAAATGACACCTATTTTGTGTTGATTAAGGCAGATATTTTGAAGACACACATACATAACATTAAGACCCGACAAAGACAGACTGCACAGACTGGGGTTTAAATACATGGGGTAACGAGGGTAATTGCGAAGACACACCTGAACCAAATCATACAATCAACGAGAAACAGAAACTGGGTCACGTAGAGCACATGGGGATGAAAACATACACACAGACAGTCCAGGGGCTTGACAGTACTTACCTCAAACTTGTCAGCAGCTTAATGTCCTTATATCTTATATACAGTTTCATATCCTTTATATCTTTAAGCGTACAATACTTTAATAGTACAATAATATAAGTGCAATAAATTAAACTGTGCAATACTCAGATCTATATTTTCTACTGTATACAGTAGTTTCATAAGTGGAGCATATGTACAAGTAATCTTAATTTTTAACATTTCACATCTAGCCTAGAATATAGAATAGTGATCCATGGGGGAATCTGTGGCTTCAGCAGACTGGTTGTATTTTTGCAAGCTTCTGACAAGAGGGCTGGCACAGTGTTTAACCAGTTTGTACAAGCCACAGCTAGGTATGGAGTTCCATCTCGAGTTAGATGTGACCACGGAGGAGAAAACAATACCGTTTGTTTGTTTGTTTATGAACATTTATCGTGGATCTATAAGTGGAAGTGCCACCCGTAGTAGAAGTGTAATCCTGAAAGTCTTAAATACTTATGGCACTTTTCCACTGCATGGTACGGCTTGGTTCGGTTCACTTTTGGGGGGTTTTCCACTGGGTACAGTACCTGGTACCTGGTACTTTTTTTTAGTCAACCAAAAAGTGGTTGTTTCGTTGTCTGTTAAGGAAGTACAGAGATTCCTCCGTTGATAGCAGAGGAGCGAATCCAGCTAGAGCTTGATGGGGCGACGAGGAATGAAAAAGTTTTTCAGGAGTCACAGCAGTAGAGGCGGCGCAACTATAACGACATGTGAATAATCCCGCCCATTCTAAAGCGATACTAAACTGCAGTGGAAACGCAAAACGAGCCGAGCCGAGCCAAGCCGTGCCGTGCCGAGTCGTACCACGCAGTGGAAAAGCGCCATTATAACATCACTTGTATACCTAATTACTGTTTGTCTGAACATAATCGCTGAACAAAAAGAGGTTTCAATAAGTGCCACCTGCTGGCGATAGCTGTAAATGTAAGCACAATAAAAGCTGTTGATTACAAAGATATTGATTGTTTTCCAAAGACAAATATTGATTGCAATGGTCTGTATCTTAAACCTGCATTGATTGCTTACCTCCATTGTAACTGATTTCCCCAGACAAATGTTAATGCTTAGATGTTAACTTAAGTTTGATCACTGATAAAGCTAGAATGTCCACTAATGTGTTTATTTACAAAAAGGTATGAGTGGAGAAATACGAGGCAATTTTATTTTTATCAAAATGTTCATAAAACTGCAATTTAAATATATTATTTCTGCAGGCTATACAAAAAAAAGAAGGAAAAGAAAAAGAAGAAAAAATAATTAGGCTGAATAAGCTGATCTATAGCATGTTAAATGGTGGTTGCCTAGTCTATGAATGGTACACCCCCCTAAGCTCACAGAAGTGGTTTGACCCAAGTCCTCAGCAGCCAATGACACTGACCCATTCAAACTGATTTTTAACGTGTACTTCAGCGTATTTAACACGTATTTCACGTGTATTTCAGCCGTATTTAACGCGTTAAATACGTGTTGTTAACGCGTGAAATACGCGTGTTTAACGGGTTGTTGACGCGTTAAAATTCACGTGTTTTTGGCCCCTTTGGCCTTCCATAACAAAAGCACCAACTGCACATGCACCGGAGTCAATCTACTGCACATGTGTGGAACACGTCCGCCGAGCGGACCACCAATACACTTTCAGTAGTATAAATACAAGTAGTCCGTGTCCATGCTGTCTGCAGCTGTCCGTGTACACGTCCGAACTGGAGTATAACCGAGGCTTAATATTTCCCACAACACATTGTGCGGAATTGATTAGAACGACAAACACACATT